TTTTTWAGATGCAAGAAARCAAACASAGAAACAGAGAAAACACATGAAAYTGAGCCACTTAAGAGGTTTCTGGCTTTCTCATTTGGAAGRTTATCATATTTGGCTGGRCTGACTCAYGAGAGAACCAGAGGATTACTGATTYGGACCCACAGCTAAACCACGTGATGCACCTTTTATTTCATCATGAAACTTCTGAAAATTTTAATATCGCCCTAGATTCTTCTATAATTATGTATTGGTAGACTAGAATGATAAGAGCAATGTGGTTCTAGGTAAATATTAGAGCTTTAGCTAAGTTAAAAGCAAAGGAACTGGGAATGAAACATTTTTTTTCTCTGAAAGCATATAACTGGCACATCTGGCATGAGAAAGGTACTTATCAAAGGTTCTCTTCATACTCAGTGTACGAAAGTAGGCACTTCTAGAGGGKATGCACTCCTAAAATCAAAATAACCTGCTACAGCCTGTCTATGCCTTGTTACTACCAGAGAAAAAACATGAGGGCAACTACATGATCACGTGGGCTGACTAAATTACATTATCTCCACTCGGTATYCCTGGATTTTAAAAAGAAATGTTTCAATGTAAGCATTGAAATTATTTGGTGCTTCTCTTAATGAAACGTTAAATTTACGTAGAGGAGTTTTCTCGGAAAGGAAATCCAACATATTTCTCGTAAGGAGAGAAATCCAAAGATTCAAAGAAAGAAAAAGAAACTCAAATTCTGTGAGATCATCCTGTCTGCCTGGAAAACCACTCTCAATTAGGCCCAAGGGTTATTTTATTCCTTTTAAAATTTTAATCTTCCCATCACCCACCTAGGAAGCATGAACAACTGCAGCCGCACCAGGCAGGACCAAACACAACTTCTGGAATAAATCCCTGACTGGGCTGGGAATGAGCTTTCACCTGGCTGAACTGTGGCACTGAGTCAATAAATGTCACCACTGCACATCTCACCACTGGAAGCGYTGGGGGTTTTTAGTTTGGAGCATAAATGCTGCAAGGCTACGAATAAATAGGAACAGCAAAACTGTCTTACAGATACATGAACTTCTTCCCAAGAAAATGATTTCATTGTCGGAAATGAAAGCTTTTTCTGTAACAGTCATAGATATAATTATGCAATACAATATGCTAAATTACAATACGTACTTCATTATTAATAGAATTTATTTTACAGATCAAATAGCCAAATACACTTTTTTTTTGTTTGTTTTAAAAGAGCCAGATAGCAAATGTGGAGCAAACTATAGGCAACAGTCATGGTAGACATTCTGCAGTCCAAGAACTGAGGCAACGTGATTATTAAGTACAAGCCTATAAATATCTTTACATCAAACATACAGTAATGTGTAAGAATTCCATGTCATAGGCTAATTCATGAATCATTAWTAACTTTTTCTTTCAAAGAAAGTTATATATACTGTATACATCCCAGTTAAAAGCAGTGTCTGTACTTCATTTTATTCTAGCAAACTAATATTACATGTCTTCATATAAGTGCAGAAAACAGGGTTCTTTATACTCCTTTGCTTCYTAAGAGATTTTGCATTGCATATGAAATTCTAATATTATAGATGATACATATTAAGCATTAYGCCCTAAAATGTGAGGCAATATACAAGAACTTGCAACCAACCTTCAAACAAAGCTATGATACTCAAGTTTCATTCTTTTCAATGAGCTGTGCTAAATAACAAATTATAATATAAAAGACTTTAATTAAAAAAAATATAGAGAAGAATAATTTGGGGGAAAAAAACAAACAACAGTAGGCCATTTCCTCCTCCTCCCCCCCCCATGTGCTGGCTAACAGTGTAAAAATTAAGTATACTATTTCCTATTTTATGACACTGAAAACCAAGCCACTGGATTTATGACTTTTTTTTTAAATAAAAATATTTCAAAAGGTTAAATGTTTGGCACCTGTTAAATAGACATTATCTAGACTTCAGCAAGCAAAACGCAAATTAAATTTGCTTTTTAAAAGTTAGGTGAACGCTTTCCAGTTATTTAAAAGGTGACCATTTATCACAAAATGGTGTGGATAAGAAAGCAGGAAGTACTAGTTTTTCACTACTACTATTGTGTCTAGAAAATGAGAAAGCAGTGACTTGATCATTTCTATTTATGATCAATAGCAGCAATATCATCATTAAAAATCTTATGGAATAGATATAAATAACACTTAATTTTTAACATGTACAATGGTGCTATAAGTGACAACAACTCATTTGTTTTTCTTTTAAATGCAGGGAGTATAAAGAACTTTACATTCTCTTTTTAACATATGAATAAAATTTATTGCTCCCTCTTAATATATTCATAGAAACAAAATTCCTAATTGTTCCAACTAAAATAAATAAGGAAAAAATCTGGGACAAGAAGATGATTACAAGCAAAATAAATTTACCATAATCACCAACCGTGAAGAAGGATGGGTCACATTACTTTTTTTTTTTCTTTCTTAGCAAAACTACGTTATAGAACACTATAGCACAACGTACTAAAACTTCTTTGTCTTTTTCCTTTTAAAAAAATTCTTGCCCTTGATACCTTTCAGTAGGGCAGCTTGGACAGTTCATCGTCACTTCCAAACCCCTCTGGAGATGAGACGATAAATTTCTTCGGCAACCAGAGACAGGACAAAGGGCTTTCTCGTGCTATTTCCTTGTTTTCATATTTGCTGGCTTAACATCATTGAGTACACGTACGACTTCAGTACATAACATCAGATGCGATGGCGTTCAGAGCTGGCAAACAGAGAAACAGCATGAGAAAAGCCCTTTCCTGCAGCATTTTCACCATAAATTGTCACGTTCGCTTCCAAATGTCTACCAAATCTCTATCACATGTGCTCTGAGATGTTCTGAGCTACTCTGGGTCTAAGTCACCACTTTTGGTGGGTGTGTGATCCGAGCACGAGCAAAGTTCTACAAACACAAACCACAAAMGCTGCAACAGAAGGAGCCACAGAAAGAGCTTCTATGGATACTACTCTACATTTCTCTTTTTTTGGCTTTATCAAAACCCAAAGTGCTGTTGCAAGATTRGAGCTGTCAGAAGACTGCTGGAGTACCTAGAACATGTTCTAAAGGGGGTTTGTGGGCTTCATTCAAGAGCATCCTAAAAAGCATAAAATGTTTTTATTTTAAGAATTATTTTACGTCCTTAATCTACATTTATCATCAACAGGGTTAGTCCTAAAGATTCACAGAAATTAAGCCATTCTGATCAATTATTTCACAGAAAAGAAAACACTATCAATACCACAGTCACCAAGACACTCACTGGTCAGGAAATTGCTATCAACTTCAGATTATTGAGTGCAACACCTTCTGGGAGAAAGCAGGAAAGTAAACAAGTGTGAAAATTAAACCACAGTTAAACCAGACTTCATTGTTAACAATMGTTTATAGCTAAATAAGATGTTTGAAATAACACAGTTGGGTCACAAGGAGAAAAGAGGAAAATTTCAGTTATCCCACTGAAAAACCAAYGTGAAATGCACTTAGTGTTTGAAAAATTACATTGCTTCTACCCCAAGGCAAGTGGCTGTTGGAGAGGGAGCTGTGTGTCATTCTGGCTTGCACAAAAATCACTCACTTATTAATGCTGGGACTTCATTTATCAACTTCACTATAAACTCAGTCAATGAGTTCTTACTGTGAAAAAAGTGCCTTTGTTTCCTCTGCTCTGACTTAGTTTTTACTGAAGTGCCACATTCAAAATCTTTCATTATTTCCTCACACAAAAAACAATTTATTTTTTTTTTAAATCATCCTTATACCCTGTTTTTGCCCTCTATTATGAGGCAAAGGGGATACACACCTTCCAGATCCCATCCCCCATGCTTTTCTAGTCAAAGATATTAWAAGAAAACACTGAAGATTTTCTTAGAGTATTGCAGAATGGAAAAGCATTTTCTTRACCAGCTTTACTTCAGCAGTGATGCACATCTAAATAATTGCTGGCTAACTTCTGACTCACACACTTTGACTTATATTTCAGTTAGAAATCTCTTCTCCAAACACATTTTTTTTGTGAAATGTATATACATGGCAGCAGCTCAGAACCACAAGCAAAATTACTAGACAGAAAATTAAGGTAAAATAATGATAATATTTAAAATCATAGTAATTTTGAAATGGCTTTTAGGAAGGGCTTATACCAACAGCTATTAAGCTGAACTTTAGAAAAAAATGTTCTTTGAGTGTAATTTACTCTGTATCTGTCAGTATAAAACACAGGGTTAGGTCGACACCCTTTTCCATCCCAGAAGCATCAGCCCTGCCTTCTGATGATTACAGGATTTGAAATTAAACTCACCAGTCTCACTGTTATTACACACAACAAAAAAAAAAAAAAAATCCTGCAGCTAAAGATTCACAGAGCAGGTGAGTTTCAGAGCTATAATTCAGGAACAGTGCCATGTTCCTTCAGTTCCCATCCTAAACTCACTGTTCTTGCAGTGAGTGGGAAGTTATAATGACATCTCACATTTTAAATCAGGAAAGYAAAGATGCCATCAGTGTCAGCAGGCGTGATGGAATCACAGAACTGAGACCCCAAAATGAGGTATTTTAGAGGAGATCCACTTCCCATTCAGAGTTTTATGAGGAATGTCATATCCATCTCCACCAGCTCCTAACAAACCAGCCCAGCAGAGATCCCTGGGCCTTCTGAAATTTCTGTCCATAAGTGTGGATCAGCTCACAGATGACAGAATCCTGCCAGCTGAACTCTCCTGATGAAGATTTGCACTGGTAAAAACAACAAAAAACAATCTCTGTGCCCTCCCTCAGCAGCTTCCCAAACACAGCGTGGTGTCCTGGCAGTGCAGGTGAATTAAAGAAAGAGCAGAGTCCAGTGGGAGGCAGGGAGAGCCCCCAAAAAATCAGATTATCATGGATGAGGAGCACCACTGCAGCTCGTCCAGCAGGAGCTGCTTCAATGCATTCACAGCCCCTCAATAACACCAAATCAGCAAAAAAAAAACTTGTTCTGAAGTCAAAAATGACAACCCAAAAGAACACAGGACCCTTCCTGAGTGACCAGGTGTGAATTCTCAAACATGTCCCCTGTCCCTATAGCATGCATTCCACTATTTTCAAATGAAAGGCACATCTGAAACAGAACTTAGTAAAATACAGGGACAACCAGAAGGAGAATGAACGGGAAGTTCTGAAGAATCTCTGCAGCATTCCCTTCTTTGAATCAAGCTGCCACAGATAACACTGTGCTCTATAATTATGCATGTTTTGACTAGACAGGCTGATACCTAGACAGGCATTTGAAATGCCTGAACGTTGTTTTAAAGTACATGAGCAAAGATTTCAGATTTTGAAATTGTGTTACACGAAAACGAGACTGGAGAAAACTCCTCTCTCCCTTCTTCTCGTCGTTCCCATGCAAATGCAAAGAGAATTAGAAGATTTGTGTCACTGTGGAACACTTCACACACTCTGCTCCCACTGAGGTAAATGTCAGAAATAACTGAGCTCTTTACAAAGCTTGCAGACAAATGAACTTTAAAGATGCTGTGCGTTTCTGCACCAAAGGAAATTTCTGTGAGGCCCACGACTGCCAAAACAAGGGAAATCTGATGACATGGGCAGTCAGTTTGAKTTGTGCAACACTCCAGATATCCTAGTTTGAAAAACCTTATGATGGATTAAACCCCTTCACAATTTATCAYTTGCTAAAACTCCTTTAAAAGAATTATCTCTAGTACATCTCCAACAAAAAAAGCATCCTGCTCTGAAGGTCTGCTGTCACTGGTATTGATTGACTCCTCCTGGGTAACTTCAGAACAATATCAGCACCTCTGGCCCCTGCCCTTTCTCAAATACAGCAGAATTTGACCTCTCTGAGGGGACATTACATTAAGGCCATACTTCTCCTTCTCCAGTTTCCTGTAGTTTATGACTCAAAGCGTCCTCAGCTGCTCTAGGAGTCTCCAATTGCTTCCCCATAAAAATTTCAGCTGTTGCACTGCTGTATTTATTTGTCCACCTGACCACTAAAGAGATATTTTGGGGGTTTTCAGTAGAAAAAACCTTTCCATCTTTGCTTGCATGCTTYTTGAGTACAACTGTCCTAATGACTTTCTGTCATTTTATGGCTCACTTAGACAAATTTAGCAGTAAAGCAAAGGCATAATTTCCTTTCTTTAAAGACCTGAATCAATACCATTCAGACAGACATGAAATTCAGAGCTTCCAAAGAAAACATATATTTTTAGCTGTAATACAATATTATTTCAAGTATCTGAGTAGAAGAAACTCTGGCAYGGACAAAACTAACAACAGTTGGGAYGTGMAGCCTGCAAATATCAGTCCCCATCAGAAACTGAAGAGACACTTCACAGTGAATAAAATCTTTAGGCTCCCTCAGAGAACTTTTGGCTCATTTATGATAATTGTGAAAAAGGACAATATTTTCCCCTCATATCAGCCATCTTATTTTCACTTTTCAAACAAGCACACCTCCTTTTTAAACTGAGTTATCTGTCAGTTSTCCAGCTTGTCCTACAGCTGCCTGCAAATTCAGAGAGTGCCTGACACAGAATCACCACTGTCCCGTTTTTATTTCTATTTGTTTCTTTTTTTTTACATGAAACTCTCATGCACCTGTCCTGAGGCACCTTCCACAGCCCCACAGGAGATTAAAATAYCCAGACTACAACACACAGAGCCTGATGAGGAGTGAGACTGACTTTTAAAAGATCCATTGAGCTTTAAGAAACTCGTCACTCATTGTTACTTATCAAGAAATGCAATTTTCATTTAGTCACATCCCAGCAAAACAAACAATATTTACCCTGATGGCTTTTCTTGCTCAATTTATGTAAATAATTATTGCAAAATTACTTATATCTAAATTTGAAAAAAAAAAAAAAAAAAGTGAGTTCATGYATTTAAAGGTAAATGCTGTTTCCAAATTAGTATAAAGGGCCATTGGTGGTGATTGGTTGCCCTTCCTACAAACAACATGATCATTTTCATGCAGAAGGACATCAATAAGAGAAGGATGGCTGTATTTTAACAGAATCAGTACAAATTCTCTTTTGTTATATATTCAGCACATCACGCTAACAACGTTGGTGCAGCTCAATGAAGATAACATCAGTGAGCATTAAAAAAAACCCCACAGCTCTGTTCTGCTTCTCCAGATAGGAACCCCCAGTCACAGACCTTCAAGGCACAGATAAAAGGACACGTTGCATTCCCCAACCAACTTCTGCAGAGGAGGATTGCTTTCCATCCCACTTTCCATGTTTTTACTGGCACAGAAGGGACTTTGAGAGTCATGAGCTCGCTTTCTCTGTCAGCAGCATTACTGCACGACAAAGTGTTTCAGCAGACAATGGCAGAACCCTTCTGACTCACAGCAACTGTGCCAGAACTCCACTGAAAAATCACTGAGATCAGGCCCACAGAAATGCTGAAAACAGCACTGCCCTCTCCTCGGTTRTGGGACTTCAAACAGATGAACCAACTGGCAGGAGGCTCTTCTAATATGTGATTTAACTTAACACATTTAAAYACATTTAATAAAAAATGCTGTCCATAGTGATACAGATTGCCATACAAATTTGTGTTGGTAAAGGAAACAAATTAGAATAAAATAAACAACATATTCTAAAATTTTCAAAGATATGATGACTGCTCTGAATGGGAAGCTTCTTTTTTTATGAAAGTTGTGATCATTACAGTTGTAATCAAACACAGCTCCCAGAATAAAAAAAAAAAAAAATCAGCTGGAGCAAGAGATCTAACAGACTTAGTTATGCTGAGGATTTGTTACCAAGCAATATATTAAGTATATTTTCAAGTTAAAATATATTATCAATAATAAAATATACACTTCTTAAGTATGTGTCACTTTAATGGCTAATTCATTAAGCAACTAAAGCTTAACTAGAAAACTGAAAACTTTGTGATACTTGTGAAGAAAGAGAAATAAACAGAAAACCAGTAAAGTTATATTAAACTGTTCAGAATACGGATAAACATTGTATTCTATTTCCAGTGACTTTTTTGTAGGGTSCATAAGAATAAGGGGTACTTTGGTTCTCAAATTATTTTTGATTTTAAGCTGAGGATTCTTTAGGCATTTTCTTTGTTGCACTGAAGTTAATACCTGGTCTATCAGGCAGAGCAGCAAATCAGTGAGATCAATTATGCTGATGCCTCTAATATTTTCCCTAACTTTACCTRTCAGCTGTGTCATCCCACCAGGTTTAAGCCTCCCTCCAGTCTGAAAATGGCACGGAAACTCTCCGAGGAAAATCCTCCCCTGCTTTTGAGAGACCTCGAAGCGAAGCTACGCCCAAATGAAGGCTGCAGTTCCAGACTCCATCARTATTAAGAACCACTTTACTGATTTCCACCGGGGTGCAGGAGCCCACCAGGCTGGGGAGGACAGTCCCACACCCCGCCAGCCCCGCCAGCAGCTCCAGGTCCCGCGGAGGAGYGGGAAGTGCCATGCTGCCATCTGCAGTCAGGATGCCACCAGAGGGATCTCTGCCTGCTCAGCCTCCTCAAACACAACACTCTTTTTTTTCCCCTTCTCATTTTCTCCCTGACCACTGGGGAAGCTCAAATTGTTTAACTTCGCAACGCCTCGATCGAACGGGAACTTTCAAACCTTTGCTCCTTGTGGGAGAACWGATTTTGCAGCGCTTTGAGCTGGAGTTATAGGATTGGCAAAGTAAGAAGGGAAGGAAGGAGGAAGAAAACACCTTAAAATTCCATTACCTGTCTGGTGTGTATGGGGCCTGGGGTCTTGAAGCCTCCTTGACAGCTGCATTCAGAAACACTGTAAGGGTCCGAGCTGCTGGATGAGCACTTGGAAAGTGAGTCACAGCCCACCACAAAGGTGTTATCTAGAGGCAATTCCTGAATGACATGGTGCTTCTTGGGGGGTACAGGAGTCTCAGGTTTAATTTGAAAGGTAGGCTGCGGAGAAGCAGACTTGTAGTGCTTTGCTAAATCCGGGCTGTCRGGTTTAAATGTGGTTGGTGTGGTGGCCCAGTTATATTTTCCCATAGTCTGTTCTTCCAGCTCTACGGGAATGTCTAAAGTGCCATTTATGTGCTCGTGGCCAGGATCATCAGGCTTAGATTCTTCGATAGTCACAAAGTTGAGGAGGAGACTTTTTGGAGAGCGCTTCTTCTTCTTCTTCTTTTTCTTGATCTGCCTGTTCTCTTGGTTTGGGGAAACCCATTCACCACTCTGCTTATTTTTTTGGACGACCTTGTGCCTGGGAGTCTGGCGGCASCGGACCAAGGCGGTAACAAAAATGACCAGGATAACCGTCATGGTGCCTGCAATAATGGCAATGATGATCTTGACGTAATCATTGGTCTGTGGGGTTATCTCACCGTCCCCAATGTTCTGCCCAACGGGAGTTTCCATGTTCCTACGCACCAGCTCCTGCACGTARGAGCTGTTGGTGACGGTGTCGTTCACAAACAAGTGCACCAGAGCTATGGTGTAAAGGGACTCAGGCTGCCCCAGGTCATTCACTTTTATCACCAGTCTGTGCAAGCCATGATCTGATGTGATTACCTTCTCCTTCAGAGTAATGTTGCCCGTTAATTGGTCAATGGTGAACAAGCCCCTGGAGTTCCCGCCTATGATGCTGTAGCGGAGCTCTGCGTTCATTCCCGTGTCATTGTCAACAGCAAACACTTTAGTGACCACAGACCCYGGGCTGGCTGATGTTGGCACCAGCTCATAGGAATAGTTGGATGAGGGGATAACAAAAACAGGCCTGTTATCATTTACATCAACAACATTGATGGTCACCTTGGCCGTTGARGAGCGCTGCAGTCTTCCTCCATCCACCGCTTTCACCTGGAATGTGTACGACCCCTGCTGCTCCCTGTCAAAGGTRATATTAGGTCTAATCACACCAGTGAGGGGATCTATAATGAAATTATCTCTACCRTTTACGATGGACAGCGTGACTGCAGCGTTGTCCCCCGCGTCAGCATCCGTCACCGTGATAAGCCCCACGGTGCCGTACATGGGCAGGTTCTCTGGCACGTAGAAATTGTATTCRTTATGCGTGAAAGCGGGGCTGTTATCATTCTGGTCCAGGACTGACACCGTCACCGTGGCATTGGTCTGCAAAGGTGGCATCCCGTTATCCTTGGCCAGCACAGTGAAAGAGTACCTGTCCTGCTTTTCTCTGTCCAGCTTTCTCACTGCCGTCAGGATGCCCGTGCGGCGGTCSAGGTTGAAAATCGGGGGCGCGTCGGAGCCCAGGATGTAGCTGATCTCGGCATTCCGCCCGCTGTCGGCATCCGTGGCGCTTATCTTGGTCAGCTGAGTACCAGGAGCGTTGTTTTCGGGGATGGAAAGGCCTATGATAGGCTGTGTGAAAACGGGGGCATTGTCATTTTCATCTTTAATTTTGATCAGCAGCATTGCAGACTGGTTCAAGGGAGGTTTCCCCGAATCTGAAGCCACTATTTTGATGGCGTACTCCCGCGTCGCTTCGTAGTCCAGAAACGTGGCCGTCTCCAGGAGAAACTGATTATCAAACACCGGTTTTAGCCTGAAAGGGACATCGTGGTCTGTGAAACAAGTCACCTTCCCATTCTGATCAGCATCCTTGTCCATGACGGTTATCAAGGCAATTTTTGTATTCAGGGGAGCCTTCTCGGACAGCAGCACAGTCCCATTCACCGGATTGATGATGTACCTGGTGTCTATCGATGGGACATTGTCGTTAATATCTGTGACATTAACAGTCACCGTCGCTCTCGACGGGGTGGAGCTGCCATCGCTCGCCAGAACAGTCAATTTGTGCACGGGGGACTCCTCCCTGTCCAGGGGCTCCCTGATGGTGATCAGGCCRGTGGTGTTATCGATGGCAAAGAGCCTCTTGGCCAGGCTGGAGATCTGGTTGCTGAAGTAGAAGTGGATTTGCGCGTTGGAGCCCAGGTCGGCGTCGGTGGCGTGGAGCTGTGACACAGAGGTGCCCACGGGGGCATTTTCGGGCACGCTGACCTCGACGTCGTTCTCCTTGAACACCGGCCGGTTGTCGTTGACATCGGTCACTGTCACCTGCAGGATGGCAGTGCTGGACCGTGGCGGGCTCCCACCATCTTCAACTTTTATCTTCATCACATAGGTGTCCTTCTGCTCCCTGTCCAGGATCTGCTGGACAATCAGCTGAGGCCACTTGTCCCCCTCGGGTGTCTCAGTTATGTCAAGACCAAATACATTTTGACCCTACAAGACACAGAAAGAACAACACACTTTAGCCTGATTGTGCATTTCAAACAGAAAAAAAAAAAATCTCATTATTTGTTCTGAAGTTGTAATGGAATATATATTTATACATCTACTCTATACAGAAATATACATTTTTATATTTACCTTTATTTTTTTCAATATCTGATCCTGTTTTAAGCTCCAGAGCCCTAGGAAAGCTTCAGAGCAAACATGGCAATAAGCAGATATGCTAGAAGAAGGGGAAATGTGGGAGTGATGGTGATTTTTTTCATCCAGATTCTCTATTTCTAAAGAAAAGTTATTAAATTCCYGGACAGATGTAATTCAGTTTCTCTATTGTATGAGTGAGTGTGGAAATGAGCAATGAAGCAAAAGTTCAGTCACTGCAGGACCTATACCAATATTCAATTTCAAGGAAGCCAGCAAGGATAAAGGGATTATTTCTCTGTTTGTGGAGCAACTGTGGACATGATCTGAAACCATTGGAATAAAAGAAAAAGCCAGCACCATCATTGAGAAAGGGCTTCCTACATAATTCAGGTGTCAGATGATACAGACAAAACTAAGTCATTAACAGTTCATCAGAAGTACATTTAAAAAACCCATTAAAACTATTCCTGTATTCAGCACTATACTTTTTATATAGGTAGTGAAAATTACAATCCCAGTGGGAAAAAAAAAAACCAAAACAAAAAAACAGACCTATTTTCATTTCAAAAAATATCACAGTACTGCAAGATCAATTTGAAAATGATCAATATTTTTCATGGGTTTGTTGAACATCTCTGGAACTGTGCCAACAAGCTACATATAGTGCACAAACGCAGCTTTTTTTAAAAACACTAGTGCTGACAAATCTGCTAAAATAAATACTGGAATCAAAAACTAAATTCCCTCTCTCCTCTGCTGGCTGTTCAGAAAAATAAGAATTAAGAATATTGTAATTATCCTCTTGTATCTCACCACTTGGAGGAATGATAGACAGTTTTCCAGCCATATCTTCCATAAGGGCAGAGCTAGAATGCAAATGTTGAATGTATGGGATGGCCAGAAAAAAGARGGCATTGATAAAGTTGTGGACAAATTAGGACTTTCTTTCTAGGTGCCATATTTGCATTAATGAACAGCTGTTCTTTCTSTGCTTATTCTGCTCATCTTTCACCCTCACTCAGTATTTGCCATACATGGTTTGGGCTGGAAGGGACYYTAAAGATCCYCTCATTCCACCCCCTTGCCACGKGCAGGGACACTTTCCTCTAGAAAAGGTTTGGCTGCTCAAAGTTCAGCTGCTAAACTGGTTTCAGACACTGCAGAAAAAGCAAAAGAAAATGTTCCCAGCATTCAAGGTTCYCTATTTCTCAGTAGCTGCAAAAGGTTTGTATTCCCTGCCTCTCGCTGCCCACCACTGAGTGCATTTATATCTTTTATACACTCTTATGTATCTCTTCAATTTTCATTTCAAATCTCTCTCATTGATTTGTTTCCTCAAAGCCAGATTTTGACCCTACATAAGCAAGCTTTTATTTCACGGGACAGAACCATTCACCCACACATCCGAAATCAATGTGCCGCTCACACAGCATTTGTGACAACATTAAGTTGTGACTGGGGACAGTATAGAGTAAACTGGAATGCATTTTGAAGTAATAAAACAAATACAGATTTGGCTTCTTTAGCAGAAGGCATGAAAATATCAGCCCTGTAAATTGTTTCTAAATCAAGCTATACATTTTGAACCAATTAGGRTAAATTTTAGAATGGTAATTCTATGCTGATAGGAAGCAGAGCACGAGTTTCCTYTTCATATTCAATCTGGCTAGCAGTTATTTGTAATAAATTTCATAATTACCAAGAAATTATAAATTATATATTCTGTGTTTTAACATGGATTCCAGAGGAATGAAAGCAACAGAAGCCAGAGGAAAATCAACCTGTCAGCTCTCTTTGCTTCTCTGTTTGTGCACAAGTGGACAGATGGGCACTGATTATTCTGTCATTAGATCCCACAGCCACAACTTTGTGCAGACATTGAATGCAYGTGGCTGAACGTGTGTGTGTCCATCTCTGCTTTTCCTGTCAAGAATGGGAGAGTTTGATATAAAATGTTCAATATAAAATGTGGTGCTTTAGCTCCCCATCCCTAGCAGTGAGCCTCTAGAGAACAGAAAAGAATGCAAAGATCTCTTCCAAGTTCATTATACACACTTGAATAATTTTCTATGGAAAGAAATATCATCCATGTCTATTGCTTCTATTCATTGCAGGTTTACATATCTTTTTAAACCGCAAAAAAACCTCATTAAAGAGAAGGAGACTTTTTCTTAATTCAACCAAGACTATTTCAGGTTGTTTCAGAGATAAGGTTAGGTGTGACATGTTGCAAATTAACAAACACATTTAATAAGAACAGACAGTTCTCACATTCTAAACACTCAAAAACAAATGATGATACATTCAAGAAATATATTTTTAAGATTATAAATATCTAATTCTCTCTGTTATGAGCAAAGAAATTGAGAGCCAAAATGAGTAACATGAAGAAAAAACCTTCAGGATTAAATTCTTGATGTTGAAGCAAATGGCTCTATGATCATTAAAACTTCAGTGAAGTTAAAATTGCCATTAGGGCCAGATTTGTACTTGGACTGAGCTGTGCCTCAGTCATCACATTATCCCAGTGATCTGGAGGATTTGTTCACATCAGGAAGGGTATGAGTTCATAGGAACAGCATCATGGATAATTAACAGTTACAGAGCACCTTGGCCATTAAAATGACTGGTAGAAATAATCTGCTACATCAATATCTCTACCATTAGACAAGAATGGGAGTGAGAAATAAAAGAGATTAACTTTTTCAATTTAAAAATACAGTTTAAGCAATGTAACCTCACTGCTGGAGCAAACCAAGGTTGTGCCCATCTCTGAGCCTGGATTAACTTTGAAGAGGTTCTGACCCTGCTCACGAGATCCCTCACCAGGRCAATAAGGAGCTCTGTTACCTTATTCAATTTTCATAACATCCTTCTCAGTGGATTTACACACACAGTCACTCAAAGAATGAAACTTTCTTGTTGAACACTCCCTACTGAATATTTACCTGGTCATTTGTAATGGATCCAAATGTCCTTTTCGGAGCTGTTTTGGGCTGTCATGTAAATAAAAAAAAAAAAAAAATGATAGTATTTTAAAAATTGCAGCATTCAGGTGGTATCATAAATACAAAATCAATGACACACGGACACGTAGAGTCATAAATGAGAAGAGCTTCTAAGTATTACAAACAGGATTGGATGTGACGAAGTGTACCAAAAGTCTACACACAGATATTGCAGCATCACAGGATTTTGTTAAATCTGTGGGGAACTGCCTGGACATTGCAGAGAATAATGGAGAAACAAGACCAGCTTCTGGTTAATGCTGATAACAGTGACACAGTTCACCCTTGAACTCACACTTGCAGAGCACTGAGGGGGCAGAAGGCAGTAATTTCTCAAAGAAGTGGAGAAGGACGAGAATATTGAGCTAAATAACAATACAAACCCAACTGCTTGTGGTACAAAGTACTGSAATTCAGAGAGGCTAGCAGTGATTAATCCTTAAAACACAGAAATTATGTAATTGTGTGTAACAAGTACCCATTGTTAGCTGACAAAGGGCAGATCAACGCTGTCCTCAATATTCATTCCTAAGAATATTCTGACCCTCCAGAGAAAGGCACAGGAGCTAAGACAGCTCATTGTTTTGTGTCTACAGCTTCACCCTACACTTATTAYCAATACTTCATGCACTGTAAATGACAAACAAATCATGGGATGGCTTTGGTTCCACTGGATCTTGAACAGAAGGGAAGGGCCAGACCACACACAGAGCTCAGACTTTTACTAATAGTGTATAATAATTCATTTCAATGACTGTTGAAACAAGCTAGAAGCCACATTTATTGCATGTTACCAATCAAAAGAAAAAAAGGAAGAAAAAAGATTAAAAGTTCAGCTTCTCATTAGAAAGTAAATCAGTAATTTAATAAAGTAATTATTTAATTAAAAAAATATTGGTTGAAATGTAGTTTTGAGTCTAAAGGACCCTAAAACCTTTTCAGCAAGTCCAGAAAATAAAGCATGTTTGCTAACCGCCTGTTATTTCACATGCAACAACGCAGAAAACCTTTGCAGGTCTTGTGCAGAACKACAAGATGGGTCCCAGACACTTTTCCCTTGCCTGTTTCTGTCAGGACAGATGGAACTGCTCTGTAACTGTGCTGTCTGTCAGCAAAGATGAGAGTACAGCAGCACAGCACCCGTTCCCAACGCCGAAAAACAGACCGTGGTTGTATGGTGGGCAACACGTTCTGTGAAAACTGAAAACTAAACTCGCATTTTTCCTYCCAAGGTGATACTTTGGTTGTGAAATTGTGGATTGCCAAAGCCAAKTTAAAGCCTTAAACAGAAAATATCCCACGTGGAAGGGAATATGGATCTGTGTGTCTGTGAACGAGCTCAGAACCAAACCATCCTAAATGCTGCAGCCCTAATAAAGKTCCCTTGTCCTCTGTCACTCACAGTGTGCAATTTGCTGTCTGTGCATCCTACAAAATTACCATTTGTTGGACAGCTGTCCTGCTTAAAGGCTCCACAGCTCTCATGACACCCCACAGCTCAGAACCCAAAGTTMCTGGGAATATGGGACATTAGCAGCTCCTGTATGAACCGAGCGGCAGAACTTCAAAGGAGAAAAATAACATTACAAAGGTAAGAAATGTTTATAATGCAGACCTCAGCAGCTGCAGAATGCTTATACATTTGACACACTCTCTTTGTCAAAGCAATGCAGCCTTTTAATTTGTAGGCCAAGATTCTTAAGACTTTTGTTCATTTTATGGTTTTCTGTCAGTTATCATGCACTGTTTCCATAGGTTTCCTTTGAAGAGGTTTAGCTTGGAATAAACTGAACTTTCAGTTTCAGAAACACAGTAAAAATAGGACTTGGAAGGTTCTAATTATGCACAAACCTAAAGTGCATTTTCTGCATCCAGAATCCCAATTAGCTCCAATCCTACTTAAAGCTGAGGATGTCACRTTATTAGCAATGTCTGCACCATAAYTTCCCATTTTTCCACCTCCAATTRTGTAAGAGCTCCTATAAATGGAAAACSCTGGCAAAGATTTCCTCTCCATAGCCACAACCACACACAGAASTGTTCTTGTCCCATGGAGCAGGCAGCAAGCACAAGGCTGTGCATGGATCAATAGAACACAGGATAATAATGAACCATTTCATGCTGGAAAGGAACAGTAAGAAGGACAACATGGAACAGAGGAGCAGGCAATCAATGCATTTAATACTGATTTTCTGAAAAAGAAAAGGAAAAAGAAAGCTAGGAGGTTCACACAAATAGGAAATTAGGTCCTAAGAAATATAATGTTACTACAACAGAACTTAAACAGCCCTTACAATTGCATTGCTGGAGTCCCTTAAACCTTAAACCTTGGTCCCTTCTGTAAAGAGTCCTTTTCAATCTTGTCATGTTCTAAACATTGTCAACTTTATTTTGCAAGATAAGATAGACACAAGATAGGCCTATCTTTACTAAGACAGAATATTTTTTCATCCACTCTATTTTTGGCATTCAATTTTCAAACTATATTTATTAGATCACATTCATTTCCATTGAGGAGAAACTATTAGAGACATTGAATACTATATTTTTAATTTATTTACTTTTTTTGCTGCCCTAATTTCTTCAGTCTACAATTCCAGCAAGCCTAAAACTCCATCATTTAAAACTGCTAATATTTTTAACCACAAGCTTTTCAAGGGAGAGAACAGGAGGAACAGAAAACTGGCAACCTACACTTCACATTTCCAAGACTCTACCAAGTTTCATGAATAACTCTCTTTCCATAGCACACATTCGGCCTTTGGAATGTTTTGAGTTGTCTGGAGGGTTTTAATTAAAGCTTATCTTTTCAAACATGGATGACAATTAAAAAACAAATSCAAAACCTAAACCAAAGCAGAAACCTCAAGCTTTTCTTTTACTAGAAATTCACCTCAGCTATGTCTCCAAACCAGGGTGGGAGTAATGGTTTACCCACAYTGCTGCATGGACAGGACATAAAATWACCCAAAAACTGCTTTMAAGGAACTGGGCCTTTGCTTGAGTGGTCTTTCATAAATATTGCAAACATACAATTATGTATTTCAGAAAAAAAAATGCTGCTGCAGCACAGAACTTTAAGGAATTTATGTTCCCAATACTCCTGCTGTTTAAATAGTTGTGCATTAACTACAGATGGGAAATTGAAGTAAGAAACCCTTTAATCCACTGTCCAAGGTTTGTAGCTTTTCCTAAAAAGGCGCCACTTCTGAGTGGCCAATCATGTTTAAAACAAAACTTTAAAACTTTCAACTTTAAAAACTAACCATTAGAACGTAATTTTAGGAGCTAAACTTGAGAATTTTAAACTTCAAGTTGAGTTCCTTCAGGTAGAGKCACTTTGACCAAAACAAGGGAGGTCAAGAGCTGCAGATAACAACCAGGGAGGCAACCTGTCCTCTTAATCTCCTCCATTACAGTTGTTCAGAAATATTCACAGACATCCTACTGAACAAAAAGCTACATTTTCAACACCGTGAGGATATGCAGATTAAGGTATTAAACATGTTTGAGCTTTGCTCTGAATTCCCATGATAAAGCTCCAGACACCTGACTTGCCTTTCAGTATATTTCTGCCTTTGGAGTCTCACTATAGATACATAACACAGGAACAAMAAMAAAAAAAAAAAAAAAAAAAAAAAAAAAAAAAGAAAAGAAATAGGATTTATATCAGGCAACAATACACTCAACAAGTGCATTTTGATATTTGCATTACACAAGTGTGACAGTTACATATTTGCTCTGTTTCCTGGCTGAGAGGGACGCACAGCACCGAGGGGCTGTGAAAAAGAGAAATAAATGAGTACAAGGCTCTGATGCAGCGCAGTGCCTTTGGAGGGGAGCACTAACAGCTCAATGCTGCTGCTCAGAACAGCTCCTAAATCACACCCTGGTTCTGCCCTGACAGCCACACGCCTTTTCTCAGCTCCCTGGGTGCTTCTGGAGCTCTGGGGTGAAGCTGCCGTGCCCCCTGCTCAACCCCTGCATTTCCAGGAGGGAAGGATGAAAGCTGCCAGCCACCTGCACACAGGGAAATAGCAACAGCCCTGACAGGTCTGAAACTCCTTCAGCCTAAAGGAGGGGCTGTGCAGCATCCTCACCTTACAAAAACTTCAGCAGACATCTGGGGAATTTGATGGGACTTGCTGGACTTTTAGGGGAACTGGGAGGAASTGGCTGGACYTRATGATTYTGAAGGTCTCTTCCAGCCTGGCTCATTCTGTGGAATTAATTTGTGTGGATCTGGCTCGTGGTAAATGGGATAACAAAATATAAAACTGACTGAAATCCCTGTGATTGGTTAAAAAGGAGCACAAACATTTGCAGATCAACACTCATCAAATCAATGTGCAGTTATTATAATTCCCTGTTCTAGCCATGTGCACACACAAATTCAGGGTGTATGAGATCTATAAACACACAGCATCTTCATTATGAAAATGCACATTTTAACCTCTGATGCTGCAGCTTTTCCAAGAAGTTGTTTAGCACGATTGTCTTCTCTGACCTGAGACCCTTCCAAAGCCAAAGTTCAGCCGGGAGCAAAATCATGAATCTTCCATTCATGCTCACACTTTTAGGAAAAAATGCTGACCAAACTTTGATCTGAACAGCAGAAACATCTCACACACACACACAGAACCCACCTGACTCCCAGAAACACGAGGACATCCTTTCCTGTGCAGGGACAGTGCTTTAATGAGCATTATCACTGCTTTATCAATGCTGATTAAAAAATCCACGGCCTGGATACAGAAAATTCACAATTCATGCAGGCAAAAATATAACGGGATGGGGAAAATAACTCTGATAGGAAAGAGTTTATATCCTCTACTCAGAACAGATCTCYCCCAGCTTCCAGAAGCAGGCTTTAGGAATTCCAGACCTGTCCCAACTCTGCTGGAATGACCTGATCATAATCCTCTCTCAAGGCCTCCACTCTGCAGGGTTTTGTAAAAATCAAAATAAGGAAGAGTGTGTGTATGTGT